CAGCACCTCGCCTCTTTGCGGAAGACGTGGGATCAGGTCCATGTTGCGCTGTCTCGTTCAGCAGCTGCTCAGAAAAAGTTTGCTGATCGCCGTAGGGTTGCGGCCCCTTCTTATCTTCCGGGTGATAGGGTATGGTTGTCCTCCCGGAACCTCCGTCTCAAGGTTCCCTCGATGAAATTTGCCCCCAGGTTTCTTGGTCCCTTCAAGGTGTTACGTAGGGTTAACCCCGTTTCCTACTCCCTGGACTTGCCTCCTTCCATGCGTATTCCGCACACGTTTCACGTTTCGCTTTTGAAGCCCTTGCTGTGTAACCGGTTCTCTCGTCCTCTCGGACGGCCCGTTTCCCCTCGTACTGTCTCTAGTGACGTGTTCGAAGTAGCTGCCCTTCTCGACTCTCGTGTTTCTAGGGGTCGGCTGCAATACCTGGTGGAATGGAAGGGTTACGGCCCTGAGGAGCGGTCTTGGGTTTCGAGCTCTGATTTGCACGCCCCCTCTATAGTCCGCTCCTTTCATGCCCGGTTTCCTTTGAAGCCTTCTGCTTCCCGCCCTCCGGGTGGTCTTCGAGGGGGGGGTACTCGCGGCACTCACCCTCCAGCCGTCCGCGGTCCCCCTTCAGCCGTGTGCTCGGCGGGCGGCACCCTCTCTCCCACGGGTGCCGTCCGCCTCTTCCTCTGTGTCTCCCAGCGGAAGAGGCGCTGGGAGACCGCCCACTTTAACCAACGCCGGGGTCAGTCACCTGACCCGGCGTTAAAGGCATAGTGCCTCAATCACAGTGGGAGGTTTAGATATCTCCCACGTGTGATTGTTAATTCTGATTGGAAATTATCCAATCAGAATTAACCTTTGGATTTATATACTTACCTTTCCTGTTCCTCTTCGCCCTGTTGTGGTCTTTGCTTGTTAGTATTGATTCTGTACTTGTGCTTCTGGTTACGTACTCCCTGGCTTGTTATCCGACTTTGTGACTTCTCCTACCCTTTGACCTCGGCTTGTCTATCGTTATTCTGTCTTCCCCTTACTCGACTTGTTTCCTGACTATTCTTTGTGTGCTTAGCCCGGCCACTCTAAGGTCCGGTACGGCACTTTGTGTGTGTGTGTGTGTTGGCGTGTTTGGTTCCCCGAATCGTGACAAATTCTAAGTAAATCTCTTATCACTGTTAAATACATTGTTGAAACTACAGTAACGAAACAAAGTGCTAAATACACATTGTGCTTCTGCAAAGCATCCACATGGGGGACTCATTTCACTTCAAATAAACATGTAGTGAAAGAACATCACAATGACCATTTTACCCTCCTCAAATAAATAATTTGAGAAGTATGCGCATTGCTGGAATTTTAGTCAAACGATGAGGAAGTTACACTTTATGATGATTACATATATGCACTAATCTGTAACTAAACTGAATATATTAATCAGAGTTTTTTTCTTTGATGGATCATTGGATATTTTTGACTAAGTTGCAAACTTAGGGCAGAAGCAAAGGTAAATTTGTTGTTTGTGGGGGTACATATATAACAATATTGGTGCTATTTAAAATGAAATATAGCAATTTTAATATTTTATCTGTGCAGGTTACCATAGAAAGGTTCTTAAATACGTTACAAGTTATTTCCCCTGCAATATTAACAAATAAGAGTTATATATACTAATAAAAATTACCAAATATTTCATCTAAAGAAGACTCTTAAACTATAAAACTTTATTTTATATAGAACTGCCCCTTTTGAGGCCTTGCTGATGCCCAGGTCATTCAAAACAAAATCATCCATTGATGTCATTTTAAACTGTGATATCTGTATAAATCAATTTGATTGAACAATATTTGACTTAGTTTTAAATTACTTACCAAGATACACAATTAGCTGTGTAATGGCTATGTAAAGAGACACCTGTAAAATCCCCCATAATGCTTTGCTCTCCAATAACACCTTAGAAATTAGTTCTAAATTAAAAGATATTTCATTATTTGAGTTTAGAAAATTTTTCTAGCTTGGTTGTATTGGTCTAAAATTTTCAAGTACCATGTAGATTTGCTAGAATACATTTTAATGAATAACCCAGAAATCAACTTTGTATTCAAGTTACATGGTCCAACAAAATATATTACAAATGAATTGCTGAAGTTATGTGATTTATGTCATGTGACTGTGATATATGTTGTGAGCAATGTCTATAAGAGTTTATCTGAGCCCATCTGACCTGTGGTTACAAATGCATTTATCTACATAAATAGTATGTACATGGGCCTGCCAATTAATCTGTATGTATATACAGAGACAGGCCATCTGCACTGTGGGTGTTTATCTATGTACTGAATAGTGACTGCTGTCGTCCCATCCTGTTCATATTACTTCCAATTACTTCCACCAGCTGTAAACTTTATGTACTAAATATTGCCAAATCATAAATTGAAATTCACTTGCTAAAAGCTTTCCTGTGTTCACTTTAATGTGTATATATATATATATATCTTTATTTGTGATTAGTTGTATCTAGTCTGTATTCACATACATTTTGTTTAATTTTGCTTTACAGAGCAGCCATTTGTTTATTGTGATATTCCTTGTAAATTATTCTCTAGATTGTAAAATTGTTTGAGCAGGGTGCACAGTGTTTACTGTTAACATTTGTAATTTATTTTCCACTTATAGACCCCATGTTAAAATTGTAAAGTCCTACAGAATATGTTGGCTCTATATAACTGATCAATAATCAATATGAAAAAAGCCCTGTTGGGGCTGAAACGTTGCTTTGTAGTTCCTGGTCCAAATAAATTGCCTTAAAAATGGGAAACTATTGGAGTGCCTTGATCATTTTCTACAAATTTATCTGCTTGGTCCTTTTGGGTACTGGGACTTTTTCAAGAGCACCCTGGATTCCCTAGTGAGGAGCTGAGTGCACTTCCAGCTTTGATGATATAGCATATCTGTTGTCATGTCTGGTTTTTGCTTTTCTGTCTGTGTGTCTGTCTATCTATCTGTCTGTCTATATATCCCACTTTGGTTCCACGAAAGCACCTTTGTCTGGGGCACCAAACTCACAATGTCCACATTACTGAATTTAAAATTCAAGGGGTACATTCCCTAATTTAAATTTAAAAAAATCCATTGATGACAACGTAAGACCCAACCTCCATGCTCCTTAGATTAAAAACATGCCAACCAATCAGAGTGCTACGACTGAGATTGTCTAGCGTGGGAAATCTCTTATAAGAGCTTTCTGCTATGCAAACTCTGCGTGGCGGCCTTGATTTTTCAAGTGTGCTTTTTTGTTTCTGTTATTCTTTTAAAAAAAATTAAAAATGTATGTATTTATCCAATTTCGTACCTTTTCTTATTTTAATAGCTGTGACAGAACTTTAATTTTTGGGGGAAGATGTGTGAGGGGCTGAAGAAAAGAAGTGAAGAAAAAAGACGTTAAGTATTGTTACAAACGCTCTCTTCTACGGACGTTTCCCACGAACTCCTGGAGGAGTGTTGAAGCTGGTCTCCTGCCCACCAACTATGGTCCAGGTCTGAGACCCTGTTCGGGTGTTACCCTGCCCAACCACCATTAGCAGCTTTCCTGTGGTTCCCCAGGTTCTGCGCTTTCTCTTCATTCAAACAGAATGCTAGCTCCTTGGCGGGCGTTCGCATGAACAAACCCACGAATGGTCCTCAGCTGTACTTATCTTAGTACCTTGGTTAGGGATTTTGAACCTGACACTTTTTGGAGGGAAGGTGTCTGAGACTAAGAGGAACAAATGCTCCCTGAGAGCCAGGCAATGGAGCTCCCGAAAGTTGACCTGTAAAAGTACCAAACAACCTGGAACTATTTTAGGACCACGTGTGCGTTCAGAATTTTCCCTACACTGCATGGATCTGAGCGCTATTTGGACAACTTGGGCACTGAGATCAGGGCAGTTGGGGATGTATGACATGTGGGGTTATTATATATGTCTATGATGTTTTGGGGTACTTTCATGTTTTTATGTTTTATTTTGGGCTCTCTGTTCCTGGGAGATAATTCGCTTACCGGTCGTTAACTCAATTATCTCTGCTACAAATGCACTACACTTCAGTTCAGTCCTTGGTCCCCTACTGTTCTCCATCTACACTACCTCCATTGGTAAACTCATTAGCTCCTTTGGCTTCCAATATCATTTCTATGCAGATGACACGCAAATCTACCTGTCCTCTCCTGATCTCTCCCCGTCCCTCTTGACTAGGGTCTCAGACTGCCTCTCTGCTATTTCTAACTGGATGGCCACTTCCTAAAACTAAACTTGACCAAAACTGAAATTCTGGTCTTTCCTCCCTCAAGTGTTGTTACTCCTGTGTCTGTCTCCCTCCAAGTCAACTGTGCTACCATCAGCTCCGCCACGCAGGCTCGCTGCCTAGGTGTTCTCTCCTTCAAGCCTCATGTTCAATCTATCGCCAAATCCTGTCATTTCCATCTCAAAAACATTGCCCGCATCCGTCCCTATTTAACGCCAGATGCGACTAAGGTGTTGGTCCATTCCACTGTCCTTTCTCGCCTTGACTACTGTAATCCGCCTCTTAGTGGTCTTACGTGCTCCCAACGTGCGCTGTTACAGTCCATAATGAATGGGGCAGCGAGGCTCATCTTCCTGTCCGCCCGCACCTCCCATGCCTCACCCTTCTGTCAGTCCCTACATTGGCTTCCTATAAAATATAGAGCTCAATTTAAAATTCTGGTTCTTGGTTTCAAATCTCTACATAATGCTGCTCCCACCTATCTATCCTCCCTTATACACAAGTATGTCCCGTCTAGGGGGGCGGAGCCTGACGACCAACCTGTATAGACGCCATCTCACGCAGCTCCCAGATTGCCGACCACAATCTCGCTAAAATCACCCGACACAGGGGCCATCCGGCAAAACAAAGTGCATTTCCAGCACCACGACGTTGGGGCGAGCAGTTTGATGCCCTTTTTTCAAGCCGCCAAGCAACCCAGGCAGCGGCGCAAAACCGCAGCCTACCGTGCCACACCAATCCTTAGCCTCGAGGCACTCCTCGGCGGACAGGGAGCGGGTCGCGATTACCCAGTCTGCCCCCTGCAGGACGCACCAACCATGGGCCGACGCACCCCTAAACCCACGGCTGGAAATACTACCCAAGGTAGGGACATAGGGGAAATGCTGCTCCGATCAGCGCAGACCGCGCCAGCATATGAGGATTTCCCGCCAAACATGGCCCCCGTCCCGGAGAGAGAGGGAGAGGAGACTCTCCACACGCAGAACACCCAGGTGGGACACACAACACCCCCAGCCTCGCCAGAGGACTCAGCCCCCACCACTAAAGGGGACCTGAAAGCCCTCTTGGCTGACATCCAGAAGCTACTGGCGGCAGATGTAGCCCTGATTAAAAGGGACATGCAACGAGTCACAGACCGTGTCACAAACGCGGAGAGGGACATAGCAGGCGTCCATACCACTATGACCACCCTGAAAGACTCAGTCCAACAGCTGCACATGGAACAACACGTCCTAGCAACCCAAATAATGTCCCTGGAAGACAAACAACGCCGAACACACATAAAGATCCGCGGCATACCCAACACCATCACCACTGAAGAACTGCCGCACTATACGAGACGTCTCTTGACTACAATCCTGTCACAACCAATAGCTAAGAAAATCACACTGGACGGTATGTACCGAGTAACAGGCTCAGCACGCACCGCACCGGGCACCCCCAGAGATGTCATCCTACGATGTGTCACCATACATGACAAGATTCAAATAATGACTGCCCTGAAAGGCAAAACGCCACTGGAATTTGAGGACGCAAAGTTATTATTTTTTCAAGACCTCACCAGAGCAACGTTACTTAGACGTAAATCTTTTGGCCCAGTAACGTCCACTCTACGCAAAGCGAACATACCATATAGATGGGAGAACACCGGCTCCTTAATTGTCCATCATGCTGGGACCACCCACAACCTTACCTCCCCCATGGGAGCCCCAGCCTTCCTGTCCGCAATGGGCTTGCAGCCGAATCAACCGCCTACCACAGACGACAATCAAGATGTCACCTGGGACCCAACACCCAACACCTCAACCGGACAACGGGCAGAATACCCACAGCGCCCCAACACCTGACCCTTATCTGGGACTGAGTCAACCTGGCCGCTGAACAACCATCTAGCCATCGAAAACCACACCGACCAACTACTTGCTTGGACTTTTACCCACACCAATTGAGAATTTCTCATGTTCAGTTACTATGTTTTTTTTTTGTATGCACATGCTAACAACACACCCCAACTTCTGGCATAGGTACCACTACCCCCAAACATAACGGGGTTTTACACACTTCTCTTTACAGCCACTGGCCTCTGAGACCCAAGCAATCTGGCAACAAGAAGCGCCTTAAACACCCCCCCCCCCTGCCACCCCCTTAGGTTAGGGGTAAAACTAAGCGTGCCAGTCCACCACCAAGTCATCGACTGGATCAATGTCCACACTAACATGAATATAACTCAGCATATAGTACCCAGTAGGTACACACACCCTGGCACTACTAACGCACATAGACGCCAACCTGACACCACACATGTGTAGGCTCCTACGCAGCCCTGCAGCCTCATGCACCACAAAGGAGCATACACCACACCCCAGGCCTGTAGTACCCCGGGAGCGCAACACAGTCCGATCACTAACCTGCAGACATCTAGCTAGCCCCGGGTTTGTTCCCAAACATGGCCGAAATAAAAAAAAAGTGCTTACCATACGCATTTCACTGTAAATCCTAACACCAACCCCACATGCTAAGAGATTACCTGCTACTGTTGAATATTTGCAAACTTATGATCTCATGAAATGCTGAATGTAACTCGCATGTACAACTGCGCACAGAAAAATAAAGAATTAAAAAAAAAAAAGTATGTCCCGTCTAGGCCCTTACGATCTGCCGAAGACTTACGTCTATATTCTGTCCGTACTCCCACATCTGATGCTCGCCTACAAGATTTCTCGAGGGCTGCACCGTTCCTGTGGAACTCGCTTCCCTCCTCCGTTAGATGCTCACCCAGTCTCCACTCCTTCAAAAAATCATTAAAAAAAACAACTTCTTCATAAAAGCGTATCAATTAAACTGTTAATAGCTCCTGACTAATTCCTCTTCTGCAATTGTCACTATTAATTAAACTGTCTTTTAGATCACCATTGATATTTCATATACACACATTTGAATCGCACACGTGTCCATTACAATAAAGAGGGAATTAAATTTGAGGGACTATCTAGCCTCCAGTTATCTTTGTAATAAAGCAAATCTAAAGCACATGGTTGTGAAATACCATAATGGACACATATCAATGTTTAAAATGCAAAGCATGTAAATACAGATGTTGAAGATTTTGACAGACAGCCTAGAGCAGGAAATAGTTAAAGTTAAACATTTTTTCAATTGCAAAATAACTGTAGTTGTTTACTTACTTACCTGCTCATGTGGGATGAAATCTACTTCAGCCCAAAAATTATGGACCATGTATAAACAGTTGAGTGGCGATCTTCATCACATTTCATAACAGAGAGAGTGTTACAGGTTCAAAACCATGTCTAACCAGAGCCACAAATCAAGGATTCTCATGTAATCCTTTCATAGATAGATTTTACTACCTCTGAGGAATTTTGAAATATCAATAGTAATCATAGGCGTGCGCACGCACGGGGTGTGCCGGGTGTGCCTGGGCACACCCTAATCCCGCGGCACGCCTATGCATATTGAGACCGGCAGGGGAGATCTCAGGATCTCCCCTGCCGGCTCATGCAGAGCCGGCGCTATCTGAGCGCCGGCTCTGCTCTCAGCCTCCCTCCCCACTGACCCACATGCAGGGAGGGAGGCAGGAGAGGACCGGCGGAGCTCTTGCCGGCAGCTCCGCCGGGTTCCTCTCGCGAGATATGAGCGTTGCCACGGCAACGCTCAAATCTCGCGAGAGTGAACTCTAGCCCCACAGGGGTTAGAGTTCACTCTCCACTGAACCACTAGGAAAAGCAGCAAGGATCCCCTCCTCCACTGGACCACCAGGGAAGGAAGCAGCAGCACGATCCCCCCTCCCTACAAAAGGTAAGAAGGGAGGGGGGATAGCAAATAATGTACCCCCACCTCCACCCCCACAATCACCCACCCACACACATACAACACACACAGCACACACACACACAGCACACACACACACAGCACACACACATACAGCACCCACACACATTCAGCACCCACAGACATACAGCACCCACAGACATACACAGCACCCACAGACATACACAGCACCCACAGACATACACAGCACACACAGACATACACAGCACCCACACACATACAGCACCCACAGACATACACAGCACCCAAACACATTCAGCACCCACAGACATACACAGCACCCACACACAGCACCCTCAGACATACACAGCACCCACAGACATACAGCACCCACAGACATACACAGCACCCACAGACATACACAGCACCCACAGACATACACAGCACCCACAGACATCCAGCACCCACAGACATCCAGCACCCACAGACATCCAGCACACCCACAGACATACACAGCACCCACAGACATACACAGCACCCAAAGACATCCAGCACCCACAGACATACACAGCACCCACAGACATACAGCACCCACAGACATTCAGCACCCACACACATTCAGCACCCACAAACATACACAGCACCCACAGACATACACAGCACGCACCCATACACAGCACCCACAGACACACACAGAACCCACACACATACAGCACCCACAGACACACACAGCACTCACAGACATACACAGCACCCACACACATACAGCACCCACAGACACACACAGCACCCTCACACACAGCACACAAACAGCACCCTCACACACACACAGCACACTAACAGTACCCTCACAAACACAAACAGGACCCTAACAAACACACACACAGCACACTACCAGTACCCTCACACACAAACAGCACCCTCACACACTGTACATTAACAGCACCCTCACAAGCGCACACACACACACAAACAGCACCCTCACACACAGTACATTAACAGCATCCTCACAAGCACGCACACACAAACACCCTCACCCACATAGCACACTACCAGCATCGTCAAACACACATCACACTAACAGCACCCTCACACAGCACACACACACACACAGCAGTGTGTGTATGTGTGTATATATGTGTATGTATATACATACATATGGTGCACACCCTAATGCAATAGGCTGCGCACGCCTATGATAGTAATCTATAGGAGCCTTGCATATTGCACATAGAGTAGAAGTTTATATAAGGTTGATTATTAATATGTTTATTGTTTTGGTTGAATTGAATATTTAGGTATTGGGTGTTTGATGTAACACTTTGATTATAGCACTATGTGAAAACATTGAACTATAGTTCTTAGGTGTCTGTCTTCGGGAGTATTTTCTTCTTGATCTTGAACTTGATTAACTCTATTTATTGGTTTTCCTTTTGTTTAGTGATCTCTTTTACTGGGCCATAAAAAGAATGATGAGGTTTGCTGATGGGTAGATAAGGCAGAGTTTGAATAGAAAGGCATGTCAGTTTTATAGATGGAGAGGCTTTGTTCCTGGATTACCTTCATTAGTATTTCCTCTCTGACATTGGAAAGGTTTTAGTGATGTCACAATCCCCTGTATGCAGTGGTGGTTCTAGGCTTTGTGAGGCCTTAGGCGAAACTCAAACATGAGGCCCCCACTAACATCCAAAGTGAAAATAAATAGGGGTTCATTGTGTGTGTATAAGGTGCTGTGGTTATATTGAAGGATGGGCTTACAGCGCTGAACAAAGAGAGCTAGTATCTATATTCATTGTTCAGAGCCTTGCAGTGTCGCAGATCCCTGTGCTGCTGGATTGTGAGCTCTCTGACTGAAGTTATGGCATAATTTGTTAACTAAATTAATTTGTAATAAACACATTTAATTAGCAATTATGCTAATTGTTTATACACAATTGCGGAGTATGGTTACATAGCCTGGCAGTCGTGTATACATAAGTGCAGGTGTGTGTATTTCTGAGTGTGTCTGACATTGTCTACCTGTGTATGTTCCTGAAAGTGTGTGTCTGACAGAGAGTAACCTTGTGTGTGAATGTATGTCTTTGTGAACATGTGTATGGGACATATGTGTGTGGGGTAGCTGCTTGCGGTGTGTTTTGTTTATGGGGGCTTCATGTGGCCTTTGTGCTTGGTGTTATGGCA